CAAAACAAACAAAAAGTATAACAACAATCAGATGACGTTGCCCGTTTGGAAACTAGTTTAAAAACCAAAATATTATGCCGTTTTCTTTTTATTTTATATTCAAATCAGATGCATACATTACATATAAACCAAAATCCTAAACCCTAATTAGCTATATCAAAAACAGATAAATAGCATTTATCTTCACTCATTACATCAATACATCAATTCTTTTCACGAAGAAGTGTATATAATATCCATATAAGAAAACAAAAAAAAAAAACTTTTACAAATCTTTATTTATGTTATATCATATCAATATAATCTACCTATATAGCAAACGTTACGCACCATAGTGTTATCATTTATCAAACATGTAAATCCCTATATAAGTCATAGTCCAAGTTCGTACACAATAACCCACTGATGAATCTGTTCTCTTCTTCTCTATCACTCAATAAAGTTGAAGAAGTCATTTCTACTCCGTTGTTACTGCTCTCTTCATTATTGCAATGACCGATTTTATTGTCATCGTCTTCTTGGTGACCTCCAAAACCCGAAATTCCATCTTCTTGGCTCATGAGTTGAGAAGCAACAAATTTATCTAGAGCTCTCCAATCCGTCACTGATGTTTTCTTCTTGTGCTTATTTTTATTTTCGCTACTTATTAGCGCGGTTAAGCTCCCATCCTCTTCTACTAATTGTCTTTTGTAGTTACTGGGATTCTTCTCCAATGATGTAATTGACGTCAAGCTCACTGGCCTCTTCATTAGAGGGAGTGAAGGGCTTTCGAGCTGTGGAAGTTGAATGAATTGATCGCAGTGAATGAAGTTTACACCAAAGTCCGATCCTTCTTGTTCTTGCTTGAACATTAAATCTTGTACAAAAATGTTTTGTTTCTGCTTAGATACGTAATTGAGAGGCTCCATAACCGAGCTTACTCCACTCGGTAATTCATCGTAAAAGTAACTCGAGCTCCAAGTTTCCGTGTTCTTGGCTTGTCCGGTCGTTGGTCTTTTCTTGAAAGCTCGACAAACCACCCACCCTTCTTCCTACAATATAATACAAACACAATCATAAATAAGGAATGATTTGTTACATGTAGTGTTAGTAAGCCTAACCTTTAGGCACATAGAAGAAATAATTTTGCTTTATATGTAGTGAGACACAATAAAAGCATGCCTTAAAAGTGCAAGACCACAAGGAAGAAAGCTAGCAATAAGCATATCTAGGTCCATACTCATTTGCAAGCTATATCAAATTTTACTATTAAACTTTTTCGAGTTTGAGAGATTGCAAGAGATATTTTTTTTTTTGTCAACATATTGCAAGAGATATAATACACACAGATCCTTCATATTTACAATTTTGTTGTTGTTAGTAATAGAATTTATAAAAAAAAAATTACAAATTAAAAGCTAGATGGGGATTCGAAACAATACGTATAATAACTCGTTTTAAAGTTGTCTTTAGTTAGACGACTTTTAAGACTTTCAACGCTTACATATAAATAAATATTATTCATATAAAGAGAGAGATAAATAGGAATGAACTTTGGTCTACACATATGGAACTGAAGTTTTATGACAGACTTTTTACTTTATGTTTTGTGATTAAAGGTGTAACATTTTACATAAGTCTTAAAGATGCTCGACTTTTATCTAAAAGTTTAAAAATGTGTCTCATAAAAAGAGCTTATGAGACAAAGAAAGTCTCTTGGCCCCATGAATAACCAAACAAGTATGCCATGTAATTTCCATAGAAGATATGGAAACAATAACATTTTAAAAAAAATTGAACAAATGACTCAATTATCCTATCTATTTCAAAAATATCATCAAGTAAAATGAGATTACCTGAGGAGGTGCATTCTCATCTGACTCTAGCCGGTATTCATGCATGATCCAGTCAGTTTTTTGGCCATTAGGGGCTCTTCCTTTGTAGAATACAAGTGTTTTCCTCATACCGATCAGTTTTGACTTGTCGTAAACAGCCTTGTCTCGACCCGTGGCTTTCCAAAAACCGGCAATGGTCGCTCTGTTTGTCCTTGTTCCTGTTGGATATTTCTTGTCTTTGTGGCTGAAGAAATACCATTCATTTCGTTCCTCATATCCGATTCGGCATCTCTCTATATAACCAAATTAATGTTCATGAGTAACCATCATATTAGGAAAAAAAATCTAAATGAAGTATGCATCATGTGTTTTGTAGAAACCTTGTAGATCCCATGGTTCGATTCTATAAAGATCAATATCTCTAATGACATCAAGATCGATCTTTTGTGATGCGACTTTTTTCCTCAAATAGTAACCAACGAGCTCTTCATCTGTTGGATGGAACCTGAATCCCGGAGGAACACTACATGACTGATCCACTGATTCCATTATTTCTGCATAACACCAAGTTCAACTCCACAATGATCAT